GAGTCTGCCTCAATAGGTTTTGTTCATCAATGTGCCTACTAATTCTTTCCATAATAAGAGTTTCCACCAACTTACTCGGTATCAACGTCAGACTGACTGGGCTGTAATTTTCCGGATCTCCTCTGGAACCCTTTTTAAAGATAGGAGTGACATTAGCTACTTTCCAGTCCTCAGGAATGGAGGCAGATTTTAATGAAAGATTACATATTTTTGTCAGGAGATCCACAAGTTCACATTTGAAAGATTACATATTTTTGTCAGGAGATCCACAAGTTCACATTTGAAAGATTACATATTTTTGTCAGGAGATCCACAAGTTCACATTTGAAAGATTACATATTTTTGTCAGGAGATCCACAAGTTCACATTTGAGTTCTTTCAGAACTCTCGGATGTATGCCATACGGGCCTGGTGATTTATCAGTTTTTTAGTTGTCTATCAGTCGTAGGACCTCCTCTCTCGTCACTTAAATCTGACTCAGGTCTTTCAACACCCCTCCTGAAATCAGCGGTTCTGGAGTGGGCAAGTACTTCTCATCTTCCACAGTGAAGCCAGAGGCAAAAAATGCATTCAGCTTCTCAGCCATTTCCCTATCATCCTTCAGTACTCCTTTTACCCCTTGGTCATCCAAGGGCCCCACTGCCTCCCTGGGTGGTTTCCTGCTTCTAATGTATTTTAAGAAAGTTTTATCGTTGGTCTTTATGTTTTTTGCTATATGCTCCTCATATTCCCTTTTTGCCTGCCTGATCACAGACTTGCATTTTATTTGCCACAGCCTGTGTTCCCTCTTATCAACCTCAATGAGACTAGCTTTCAACCGCTTAAAGGAATCCTTCTTATTTTACAGCTTCCATTTCTTTGTTTGTTAACCATGCAGGCTTTTTTTCTATACCTATTTGTGCCTTTCCTAACCTGCGGTATATATTTTTTCTGAGCTTCTAGGATTGTAGTTTTAAATAGTCTCCAAGCTTCCCCAATGGTTTTGATCCTTTCTACTTTTCCTTTCAGTTTCTTCCTCACATGTCCCCTCATATCAGAGAAGTTACCCCTTTTAAAGTTAAAAGTGGTGGTGTCCGTCTTTTTGGGCAACTCAGTAACATTATGGTCACTGTTCCCAAGCAGTGCAATCACTTTTACATCTCTCACCAGGTCTTGGATGTTACTTAGGACCAAATAAAGGATTGCCCCTCCCCTGGTAGGTTCCGTGACCATCTGTTCCATAGTATAGTCAATGAGAGTGTCTAGAAACTCAATCTCTTCTTCCTGTCCCAATCAATGTGTGGGTAGTTAATCACCTATTATGATAGAGTTATTTCATCCAACCGCTATCTTTAATTCATTCATCATTTTATAATCCTCCTCTATCTTTTGATCTGGTGGGCGATAACAAACTCTCAGTGTTAAGCGTCCTTTTGGGCACACTATTTCAACCCATAGCATTTCCAGAAGTGAATCAAATTTTCTTAGCCTCTCAGTCTTACTGGACTGTATATCCTCTCTGACATACAGAGCTACCCCACCTCCAACCCTTCCCCCCTATCCTTCCAATATAATTTATAACCAGGAATCACCATATCCCACTGATTTTCCTCATCCCACCAAGTTTCTGAAATACCCACAATGTCTATTTCCCCCCCACACACCAAGCATTCCAACTCCCCGATTCTACCTCGGACACTTCTAGCATTAGTATATAAACATCTATAGTTTCCCATACATGTTAAGCCCACAACCTTCCTCTTGCTGCCTCCTGACCTTGCCAGGCAGTCCATATCGTTAGCCACAGTCTCAGTGGACAATTCTAATCCATTTCCTTGTAGAAAAGTAAGTTACCCCTTCATCTCTTTGAGATGAGCCATCCCAAACCAGAGACTTTTCATCTCCTGTTGGCTTTCCCCCAATATTCAGTTTAAAAACTGCTCTCCCACCTTTTTGATTTTAAGTGCCAACAGCCTGGTTCCTTCTCGGGACAAGTAGAGACCGTCTCTTTTGTACAGCTCCCTCTTGTTCCAAAAAGCATCCCACTGCCTAACAAACTTGAACCCTTCCTCCCTACACCATTGTCTCATCCATGCATTGAGACTCTTGATCCGTGCCTGTCTCTCCAGCCCAGCGCGTGGAACAGGTAGCACGAAGAACAGCGCGTGGAACAGGCTATTAGCCACAAGGTATAGATAGGGACTCTGGGGCAAGTGATGCTCTGTTATCTTGGTGCTTGGGGGGGTCAACAGTAGGAGGGCTTCTAATGTCCTGGCCCCACTGGTGGACCTCCTGATGGCACTGGTATTTCTGGCCACTGTGTGACACAGAGTGTTGGACTGGGTGGGCCTTTGGCCTGATCCAACATTGGCATCTCTTATGTTCTTATGTTCTTACCTTGGAGGTCCTGGCATTGAGTCTCTTGCCTAGCAGCCTAAATTTTTCCTCCAGGACCTCACAACTGCATTTCCCCACATCGTTGGTGCCAACATGTACCATAACCACTGGCTCCTCCCCAGCACTATCTACCAGCCTATCTAGAACATGCATAATATCCGCTACCTTCGCACCTGGCAGGCAAGTCACCATACAGTCAGTATGTGGGTTTGCCACCCAGCTGCCTGCCTGCCTAAAGATCAAATCACCAACTACCAAGAGCCCCCCTCCCTCCCTGCCAAGGAATGGTTCCTTGGTGTGAAAGACCCATTCACCAGCTGAAGAAGAGGTCCCTACTGAGGGCACATTCCCCTTATCCGCAGCACGGTGCCGTTTCCTCTCGACCCTCATGCTCCCTGACAGCAGTGGGGCTGCCATATTCAGAGTGGGACATATCTAACAAGTCCCCGAGAGTCTTCTCCGTGCCCCTAACTGACTGTCTCTGCTTCTCCAGGTCAGACACCTTGGCCTCAAGGGAGCAAACTCGTTCCCTGAGAACCAGGAGCTCCTTGCACCGGGTACACACGCAAGACTTCTGTCCATTGGGCAGACAGTCATACATGTGACACTCCGTGCAAAACACTGGATAGTCCCCAACCCCCTGGCATTTTGGCTTCATCATTGCTTCGAAAATAATAATTATATATAATCCCCCTTTTAAAACCCTTTGTATTTATGTGGTTCTCCTTGTAGAAGTCTACTTACCTTACTGGGAACCCAAGGAGATGAGGGCCCTGGCTTTCTGGCTCTTCCTGGGCGTCTTACAGAGTCCCTAGTCTGTCCCTAGGCTAAGAGCCACAGGCCAAGAGCCCTTTGGCTCTCACCCTTCGGCTCGTGTCTCTGGCGAGGTGCTGCCTTAAATACCAGCCTCCCCCAACAGAAGGCCTAGATTTATAATTGAAGGAAATGCTGAATTTCAATTCAAAGTGAGTGAAAATAAAGATGCAATTTTTCCCCCATCCAAGTTCACAGACCCCCTGAAAGACAATCTTCAACTGTATCTAAAACCCAAAGAGGCGAGAAACTTTTGAATTCTCAGAGTCTGGAAATATCTTCAACTGGAGTATCGCTTTATAACAGGATCTCAGAACCCCAAAAATCTTTTGAATGCACGGAGTGTGAAAAGCAATCCATTCAGTGGTGTGATCTTCAGAAGCATCTACAAACTCATACAGGGGAGAATCCCTGCAACCCTTGAATTGTCTATTTCTTCACAGGATATGGAAAATTGATAGGGTTTTTTTCTCCAGTTTTGCAGATGCTAGAAGGAGTTAGCTTGGGACAGAGACTGAAGTAGGGCAACCACTAAAAAGGGCCTTCTTCAGACAACTACTTTTGGAGCATATCTGAGCCTCCAATCACCTGGGCAATTCGAAGAAGAGCCTTATCAGATCCCACTATAGGAAAGGTGAATTATCTGAGATAGAGGAAGGTTGGATCTCTTCCTCAAGGTCTTGCTACATGGTGTGTATTCATGAGGTTCCTCCACTGTATGGATTCCTCAATGATTTAAGGAGATATAAGCTAGTCTTGAATCCCTTTCCACCCACAGAACACGCCCTTTCTTTCTTCCCTGTGAGATCTGTTTGAGCTCTGTCCTCAGTCCGAATAGTTCTATCATTTCTTCCAGGTTAGGGTAAGGATTCTGGGCAGATACAAGCACTTTACAAGAGTTTACACGGTTTCAACCCTTTTACGATCTGTGGTTGTTTTTTTGTGTGAAATAAGAGAAAAGCTCTTTTCACAAGCTAAGCAGTTATATGATTTCTGCTTCTGTGGGTTCTCTGATTCTGCTGAAGATGGCCGGGCTAACTGAATCTCTTTCCACACTCTAAGCATTCAGAGGGATTCTCCCCTGTATGAGTTTGTAGATGCTTCTGAAGATCACACCTCTGAATGGATTGCTTTTCGCACTCCGTGCATTCAAAAGATTTTTGGGGTTCTGAGATCCTGTTAAAAAGTGATGCTCCAGTTGAAAGTATTTCCGGACTCTGAGAATTCAAAAGTTTCTCACCTCTATGGGCTTTTAGATACAGTTGAAGATTGTCTTTCCAATTGAATCTCTTTCTACAACTCAGAGCACTCAAAAGTTTTTTCCTTTGCTTCAGTTCTTAGATGCTGTTGTAAGAAAATCGCTTTCCACACGCAGAGAATTCAAAAGGTTTCTCATGTGTGGATTCTTAGGTGCTTTGTAAGACTTCGTCTGTAATTGAATCTCTTTCCACACTCTGAGCATTCAAAAGGTTGCTCCCCTGTGTGGGTTCTAAGATGCTGTACAAGATTGTTACTCTTACTGAATTTCTTTCCACACTCTGAACATTCGAAAGGTTTTACCCCTGAGTGGGTTCTTTGATGTTCCTGAAGATGGCTGCTCTGACTGAATTTCTTTCCACACTCTGAGCATTCAAATGGTTTCTCTCCTGTATGGGTTCTTAGATGCCGCTGAAAACTGCTACTGTTATAGAATTGCTTTCCACACTCTGAACATTCAAAAAGATTCTCCCCTGTGTGAATTCTTTTATGTTCTTGAAGATGGGTGCTCTGATTGAATTTCTTTCCACACTCTGAGCACGCAAACGGTTTCTCCCCTGTGTGGGTTCTTAGATGCCGATGAAAACTGCTACTGTCACAGAATCGCTTTCCACACTCTGAGCATTCAAAAGGTTTCTCCCCTGTGTGAATTGTTTCATGCTTTAGAAGATTGTTACTCTTATTGAATCTCTTTCCACACTCTGAACATTCAAAAGGTTTTGCCCCTGTGTGGATTCTTTGATGTTCCTGAAGATGGCCGCTCTGACTGAATTTCTTTCCACACTCAGAGCATTCAAAAGGTTTCTCCCCTGTGTGGACTCTTAGGTGCTGTTGAAAACTACATCTGTGATTGAATTTCTTTCCACACTCTGAGCATTCAAAAGGTTTCTCCCCTGTGTGGGTTCTTTGGTGTTCTTGAAGATGGGTGCTCTGATTGAATTTCTTTCCACACTCTGAACATTCAAACGGTTTCTCCCCTGTGTGGGTTCTTAGATGCCGTTGAAAGCTGCTACTGTAACAAAATTGCCTTCCACACTCAGAGCATTCAAAAGGTTTCTCCCCTGTATGGATTCTTAGGTGCTGTTGAAGACCCTGGATGTGACTGAATCTCTTTCCACACTCTGAGCATTCAAAACCTTTCTCCCCTGTGTGAGTTCTTTGATGCTGTAGAAGATAGTTACTGTTACTGAATTTCTTTCTACACTCTGAGCTTTCAAAAAGTTTCTTCTCTTTGTGGGTTTTAAGATGCTGTTGAAGACGGCCACTTAACCTGAATCTCTTTCCACACTCCGAGCATTCAAACAGTTTCTCTTTTCTATGGGTTCTTAGATGGCATTGAAAATTGCTACTGTAAGAAAATCTCTTTCCACACTCTGAGCATTCAAAACCTTTCTCCCCTGTGTGCATTCTTAGGTGCTGTTGAATACTACATCTGTGATTGACTCTCTTTCCACATTCTGAGCATTCAAAACGTTTTTCCCCTGTGTGAGTTCTTTGATGCTGTAGAAGATTGTTATTCTTACTGAATTTCTTTCCACACTGTGAGCATCTAAAAGGTTTCTCGCCTGTGTGGATTCTTTGGTGCACAAGGAACTGTGATCTGTATTTAAAGTACCTTCCACACTGAAAGCATTTACATGCCTTTGTTATAATGTTCCTTGAGAAATATAGATTTCCCTGTCTTCCATCAGAGGATGTAATTCCACTCTCTAAACAGATAAATGGCTTTTCTTCTGAATGACTGCTTTGGTATTTACTAAGGTCTGATTTCTGCGAGAAAGTTTCATCATGGTTTGAGCAGCTATAATGTTTCTCTGCTGCATGTGTTTGTTGATGTTTAAGGAGCTCTGCTCTGCAAAGGAAGCTCTCTCCACACTCCAGCTGTTGATGGTTCTTCTTTCCACTCTGCATTTGCACATGGATATTATATTGGGTTTGATCTGAGAAGTTCATTCCACACTCCAAACACTTGTACATTTCTTCCTTTTGAATTAATTCACGGAAATCCCCCCCCTGGCAAGGAATGGGTTGATCCCTCTTCCCAACCATATGATTTCCTTTCTGCCTCTTGGGTCTGCCTTGATTCCTGAAGTTTCCTCTCAAGTCTTCATTCTTGACTTCATCTGGTGATAGCCGATGCAGTTCCTCTTCCTCCTCATTCCTCTGATCTTCCCCTGCTGGAATAAAGAGAGAGATCCTGTTTAGCACTCACAGACGGAGGTCTGATTTGCACTTGAAATTCCATCCACACTCTAAGCATTTCAGGGGCTGGTTTCTGCTGTACATTGAAATCTACAATAATATACATGTTAAAAGCGGCTTCCCGCCTGTCTGTGTGGTCCATCTCTGAAGTTTCCTTCAGCCTCTTCATTCTTGGCTTTTCCCAAAGAGAACCCCAACGGTCTCCTCTACATCTGCTGCTGGAATCAAGAAAGAGGTCCAGTCTCCACCCAGGCAGAAGTCAGGCCACCAATCAGGCAATCCTCATTCACGAGGAGTGTGCATTTCCATTGGCAGAACTTCTTTCCCTCAAAGCCAAGACCTCATCAATTTAACCCTACAATTTAAAGGGTACCCCTATGGTTTGTGGAAAGGATGCCAGTTGTAGGGTTGTTTTTTTAAGGCATCTAGGTAATGAATGAAGTGTTGATGACCCTTCTCCCTCATTCAGCCTGGCTGTTCTTAAGTCCCCCTCCCCGTTTCCCCAGTAATCATGTAACTCCTCAATTAATCATACAAAAGCCATATCTGGTGGGAGTCAACCAAAGGGCCTTTTCCTCAAACGGTTCCCTCCATGATCATCTGGCTTGAATAAGGACCCAAATTATCAAGACTCCTCCTCCTCCTCCTCCCTCCTCCTCCTTCTTCCTCCTCCTCCAGGGCAACTGTTTTGCCCTCCCATGTCCAGGTCTCAGTCGCGCATGCCAGTGCCATGTCATGCGCTGCAAGATAGTTTTGCAGCATTAAGGTATTATTATTAATGGACCTGGCATTGCACAACATCAGTGTCGAAGGAGGGTCCATTTCCCTAGCCCTCTCACCGACATCTCTCGGGATGGGATAAAGTTTGGAAAGGGACTGCGCATGACTGTATCTCTGTCCCCTTCCCTTCCACCACCTTCTCCCACCGCCATGTCTCCCTCTGCCCCCAATCACTGGCATTGCACAACATCAGTGTCTTATTATTAATGGACCTGGCATTGCACAACATCAGTGTCAAAGGAGGGTCCATTTCCCTAGCCCTCTCACCGACATCTCTCGGGATGGGACAAAGGTTGGAAAGGGACTGCGCATGACTGTATCTCTGTCCCCTTCCCTTCCACCACCTTCTCCCACCGCCATGTCTCCCTCTGCCCCCAATCACTGGGATCCCCAGCACAGCACAGGCACTCTCCCACTGTGCCCTAGAGCCATTCTGCACACCACCCCTCCCCTGCATCCATGAACCAGCAGCCCACAGATATATTATTATTACAGTTTATACAGCAGGTCAAAATTACAGATCAAACAATTAACCTGTCACCTACCTAATTGTTAAAACAGTAATACCTTAAAATAATACTTAAAAACCCCTATAAAACCAAGCAATACCTCCCGCCTACACTAAACTCTTTGCTTCCTGTTGAATCCCTAGTCTTTGCTTTCAGTCAAAGCTAGTAAGTACAGTTCTGGTCACCACACCTCAAAAAGGATGTTATAGCATTGGGGAAAGTGCAGGAAAGGGCAACTAGAATGATCAAAGGGTTGGAACACCTATGAGGTTGGAACACCTATGAGGAAAGGTTAATGCGCTTGGGGCTCTTTACCTTGGAGAAACGATGGCTGAGGGGTGACATGATCGAGGTTTATAAGATTATGCATGGGATAGAGCAGGTAGAGAAAGAGGTCCTTGTCTCCCTTTCTCACAATACAAGAACTGAAATTGCTGTTGGAACTGATAAAAGGAAGCACTTCTTCACCCAAAGAGTGATTAACACATGAAATTCACTGCCAGAGGAGGTGGTGGCGGCTACAAGCATGGAGGGCTTCAAGAGAGAATTAGATAAACATCTGGAGCAGAGGTCCATCAGTGGCTATTAGCCACAAAGTATAGATAGGGGCTCTGGGGCAAGTGATGCTCTGTCTTCTTGGTGCTTGGGGGGGGGGAGGGCAACAGTGGGAGGGCTTCTAGTGTCCTGGCCCCACTGGTGGACCTCTTGCTGGCACCTGGTATTTTTGGCCACTGTGTGATGGAGTGTTGGACTGGATGGGCCATTGGCCTGATCCAACATTGGCTTCTCTTTTGTTCTTAAGACATAGATGTTAAATGGCAGCGGCCGCCAGGCAGTCCATGGTGGATGCTGCTAGGGGTTCAAAGCAGAGATTCTTGGCACCCCCATGCAGTGGTAGCTGCTACAGGCTATAGGATCCCAGATCATTGGATGGGGGAGCAGGCACCGCACACACAAGGCCATGCATGTGGCAGAGGCCCCAGGCCACCCAGTGACCAGTATAACTGGAGATCGCCAGCACCGCCCGCCCACAAGGCTGAAGGCTGCCAGGTGGTCCATGGGGGAGGGAGGCTGCTCCGCTGTGTGCTCAGTGGAAGGATTAGGCCCCCGATGTGTAGAAGAAACTGCTGAAGAGTGCCCCCCATGGGCCACAACACACCCACATCCCAATGCCGACAGCTTTTCTCCTCCATCATCTCAGAAGAAATGTATAAAGTGATCCCTCAGTCCATCCAATTTGTAGCAGGTTTTGGACCCCAGCCTCTTCCCCCAACTGTATGGTTGTGGATCCTCTCCTTTCCCACCCTATTCTGCTGTGCTTCTCCAGAGCTGCCCGGCTGTCTTCAGGAAGCAGGCTTGTATGCCTTTGACTCTTCCCTTTTATTTTCTCCCTTCATAGCAGGAAGTTGGTGAGGGAAGGAGATTAAACTGTGTTTGTACTTCACATGTGCATTTATTTTCTTTCTGTAGTGCCTCTATTTTTATTTATCTGACCTATCTTGGTTCTCTTTCTGTTAACTTAATACATTTATTTTCCTCTTTAAGAAGCTGATACCCTTCATTCTTTTTGAGTGCTGGTCTGTATCTTGACCCAGGTAGACATAGGTTTATGATCTCAGGAATTAATACCCCACAATACACGTGTTTTCCTTTTTGCTAGCAGAAGGACTCTTAAGCTAGCTACAACGGTGGGTACATGAGTGATATGGCTCACAGACCCCTTTCTGAGGGTCTGTCAGCCCCTCTTTGGCCCCAGGCCAGGACACCCTCCCTGGCTCAGGTGATGTGATGGCCACAACACGGGCCTCAGTTGCCCATAGGCCAGCCAAGTGGCTTGGGTCGCTCTCCCAGGCCATGTTGAACACAACACTTTCACTGCCACCCCAACTCCTCGAGACCTCCAAAAGGAGACAGGTAGTGGGGCAGGCCTGAAAATGATGTATTTGTGTTCAGTATTTTGATTCATGCCTTATCCCAATGGCAGCAATTCGTACCTTTGGCACCCTTGAAAGATCCTTACCCAGAGAGGCCACGCTCCCGTAGTTCTCCAGCATGACTTCCCTGTAGAGAGCTCTTTGGCCTGGATCCAGCAGGGCCCACTCGGCCTCGGTGAAATACACGGCCACCTCCTCAAAGGAAAAAGGATCCTGGAAGAAAAAGCAGATTCCCTCGTCAGAGAGCATGCCAGGCAGACAAGGCACACTGGAAGGGGGCAGTCTGGGAGGGTGCAGGATGCAGAGCTTGGCATGAGCAAAGGGAGTGGCATTCAAAGCCTCTTTCC